AAAAAAAAAAAAAAAAAAAAAAAAAAAAAAAAAAACACACGACAAAATTCAATTATCTTCCAATATAGATCACGCAAAGCAAGTTAGAATTAGAAATGAAAAAAGTTTAGAAGTGTTTTGATGAACCTGTACACACAGATGACTCACTATCGAAAAGGCACTCGAGGAATAAAAAATAAAAGCTTTTGTGTAGCAGATGTCTAATTGGTTTGCTTTGGCGATGCTGTATATAACCATGGTTTTTGATTTTAAACATCTATTAGCACTTTCAAAAATGAAGCAATCAAAATTAAAATCCATCAGAGTGATATTTAGTTATATTTGACAGAAGGTAGTTTTGAGTCAGGGCACGACTAACTTATACGGATAATTGGAATTCATTGGGAAATAAGGAGCTGGAATACTTTTCATTTAAACTCGAGGGAAACAAAGCATCGAAAGAAGAACGAAATACGAAAGAGTGTTTCGTGTAAGCGAAGAGAAAACGATTTTTACGTAACAAAGCAACCGGAAAGCAAGTTAACGGTGTAAGAAGATTTCATTCTAATTAAGGTAATGAAAATTCACATTGATTGTGTAAACAAACACTCTAAAAGTCTAAAACGTCCGCTATAAAAATAACATTGGCTAGTCGTTTCTGAAATCACGAAAAAGTTAAAACATCTTGTTCAAATTGTTATGATGTTAAATTTATTTGGCTGGACGAGAGATAACAGAAATGACTCGAAAATTTCACTTTTCGGAAACAATTACCACAGAACATGCCATATTTATTTGCATGAATAGATAGATATACCAGAACTTTCTGACTTACATGTATTCATATAATTCATATACTGCATGATATTATCCTTTCGACTTCATGTGTACTCAGCAGAAAGCTTATATTTTTAATTGTTTTTTTATCTTTTAATTATCTTTTAAATGGAAAATGTCACCTGTTAAAGTCTCTAATTAAGATAAGAGAATAAGACTTGAATTTGGATGTTTACCCCCGAGTTTGCGCAGAACGATATATGTCGCAAAGTATAGTAGTTTTTTTTCCAAAACGCATCCCACATGGAAAGGATTGGGTATTCGGTTTAATACATCAGCGTTATTTGACAAAATTTCGAGTATGCTGGTCATAGCATGGGGTTAATCATCTACGGTCTAGGGGCCGACTAACCTCTCCCTTAGGCTTCGGCCGAGCTTCCTGATCAGTCTGTAAATCTCCGGATAGCGGTGTCGGGGTAGAAATCTCCGGCGTAGCCGTAAATGCTTCGCGCTGCCATACGACGGTTCAGCACTCGATGTCTGGAAGTATGGTCCTAAATTTCAAACACATTGAAACAAAAATTAAAAATTAATGAACCGGTCTTTCTAGCAGATGAAGTTTTAAATAGATCGTTTTCAGGAGAGGAAAAGATCTAGAATAACTTTAATTCTACGCAAATTGATCGGGCCATAGCAGGAATCCGGTGCGCCACATGAATCAAATGGGAAAAAGCACTCTCTTTTTATTTTTTTTAAATCACTGATATGCTGTGCAACGTTAACCAATCATGATGTAGAACGAAAACGAAGCAATCGATCTTAAATCAAACCTAAACCAATGAATCCGGAACGAGCAAAGATGGAAGCCGGGCTACCGAGATCTGATTATATATCTGAGCCATGTTGTACGAAGGGTGGATATCGTATGCGACGGATAAACTCTTATCCAGTGGATAAGTCGATGCTGTTATCCAATAAATTTATCCACTGGATAAGGATTTATCCGTCGGACACGATATTCACCCTTCGTACATCCGGGCCCTAAGAAAAATCTTAAATGTTATCAACAACCTCGGGAATGAGAGATTATGATTGGCTGAGGTCTGCAATATGATATGGATTTTGCTCTCTCCCGATTGGCTTAAGTGTTTTCTATCTTGATTTTTGTTCAAGTCTGTCCCGATTAGTGTGTCTGCGCTGTAAGGTGAAAAACCATAATTTGAACTGATCAAATGTTTCATTCTACTGAGCGTAAACAGCCATCGTCTTAATAGACCCGTTTCGAATTCCAAATTACCGCTGTGTTTCTTGATCACAGACTCATATGCACTGGGTTAGCCTCGAGTTTGTGCAGAATATTCACGTGTTCCAGTCAAGGTCCGTCGAGTTTCGAAGTGTTTGTATTGTTGAAGCTGTGCATTCTTTACTTTACGATTGGTATTTGTGAATATTCAAACACTGATACGAGGCTAACCCTGTCTAAATGAGTCTGTAATCAAGGAACACAGCGGTAATTTGGAATTCGAAACTGGTCTGTTAACCCATGGATCCAATACTGGGCTGTGATCAGTAAAATATTAAGATTATTACACCCAACATTTTTTACCATTCATCTTGTTTATTCCATTTATTTTTAGGCTTAAAGAAAACAGAAGAACAAGAAACTTTATTTCTTGAAACAGCATAGAATAACATGGAGTCCAACGACAGCTCTGTAGATTCGTGTTATGTTCATATCTTCAGCAGCGCAGAAATCTGGATTACGTCAATCGCTTACGTCATCATCATCATAGCTTCTGTTATTGGTAACTGTCTGGTCACGTGGGTGGTCTATTCCAGCCCTCTGATGAGAACGCCGAGTCACTACTTCATCGTAAACATGGCTGTTGCTGATTTGCTTATTACAGTCTTTGGGATGCCTGTGGCGGCAAGGGAGCAAATCATAAGCACCGACGCCATTGACTTTGGAGGGATCCGAGGGGAGATATATTGCAAAATGTTGGAATATACTAAAGATGTGTCAATTTCCTGTTCCATACTTACACTTGTCGCCATAGCAACTGATAGGTTCTGCGCTACCTTAATTCCCTTTAAAAGGCTTATCACGTTAACCAAAGCCAAGGTTATGATGTTTTTGATTTGGATTGTTTCTCTTGTCGTAACCATTCCTTTACTCGTTGTGGCCAATGTTATAGAGTATGAGAATAACAAGTTTTTCTGCTACGAAGACTGGACCGTGTTCCACGACCTCGGAGCCAGCAAAATGGAACACAGCTACACTATTGCGTTATTCATCATACTTTATGCAGCTCCACTGGTCATTATCTCCATCCTCTACGGTGCCGTAATCAGGAAGATCTGGAAGAGAAAGATTCCCGGTCAGACTACGCATAGTGGAAGACAAATGCAGCAACGAACCAAGAAAAAGGTGCTTAAAATCTTCATGACAGTGGTAGTGTGTTTTATGGCCTGCTGGTTACCATATCATGTCATTCTTTTCACCTATAACTTTGACTGTTATCCACCCATTAACCTCTGGTTCTTTGCCCGCTTTCTTGGGCATACTAACAGTAGTATCACCCCGTGGATTTATATTATCTATGGACGTGATTATCGTCTAGGTGCTAAACGTATTTTGAAAAAGGTTTTGGGTAAAGCAGACCCGCTTCCTTCATTTTGCAACAGATCAGTGCAAATTCCTTCAAATTTACCTGATATTAATGCTTCAAATCTCAATAACGTTACCTTGAAAACTTTCACAAATAAGATATAAACTGAACATTGACAAAATAGAAATATTAAAACGTGATAGAAATAGTTAAACTATGGGAAAAGGTGGTATAATGTACATAAATCAAATGCTTACTTAATTCTTCATTCTTGGGGTGCATGTTACGTCATACCCACCATGTTGGTTGACGATAACAAAGCATTCATCATTACGCGTCTCATGTTAGATCAACCAGCATGGCGGCTATTTCATTGTTATTTATATCTTAAAATATCTTTTTCGGTCACGTGGTTGCACTCCAAGATTTTTTTGGGGTGCATGTTACGTCATAGCCGCCATGTTGGTTGACTAGACAAAGCATTCCTCATTAAGCTTCTCTTGTTTGATCAACCAACATGGCGGCTATTTCATTTAAGGAATTTTTTCGGTCACGTGGTTGCACTCCAAGAATTATTGGGGTGTATGTTACGTCATAGCCAGCATTTTGTATTACTCTGACTTAGATCAGCCCAGAGGTTGTTTCAGGGTTCAATCTGTGAGTTAGACGTGCTCTGACTTAGATCAGCCCAGAGGTTGTTACAGGGTTTGATGTGTGAGTTAGCCATGCCCTGACATAGATCAGCCCAGAGGTTGTTACAGGGTTCAATAAAGTTGAGAGCTAGAAATAGAAAACACCTAGTATTTTTACCTACATTTGTTACATGAATAACTGAAAAAGAAAAGGAAACGATGTGCTAATGAGGTCATACCTAGTCTTATCCGTAGCCGTAATTAGTTATGTCCCATCAGATCGGGCCCTCTTAGTGGAGACTAGAGAGACACTCTAGGTCATACCACAACTGAAAAAATTATCTTCAAATGCATTTTTAACCGCATTGTGTGGGTACGAAACAGGAAAAAATAATGTCGCTAGCTTTTCACTTTCTATACAGGGGAAGATCAGAGGGATTCATTTAAAGGCCGAAGAGTATTAAAATGCATGAAGACGAATGCGTGCGGCAGATTTAGACTGTGCGGCTAAAATTAATCTTTTTTTGGAAAAAATATTACTTAGCGGATTGACTGAGAATAGAAATTAAGTTATATTAGTAGCTCATATCAGACAAGGAGTCGGTGTATTGTTGGACTGATTTATTGGTTTGAATTTGATTTGCTCTTCGAGTGGTTGGGAGTGTCGTTGATTGGCAAGGAAATGAATCCAACATGGTAAAAGCTTTTCTAAAAATCAAGCTGATTAATACAAACTAATTGGTTTTCTTTCGAATGAAATGAGTTTTTARAATATATCTAAGGCTAATAACATAATTTTTCTTCCAATATTAATATTTTATGTTTCAAGATTTTCGAGTCAAATTGTCAAAAATTGTAAATTTCGATTTAAAAGCAAAAGAAGAAAATGAATTACTGAAAAAATGACAAGAAAATTAGAAAAAGATTGAACAAAAGAACAAAGRAAAAAGAAAACAACTGCAAAATATGTTTGCATTTTAAGGAAAGATTTAATTACTGGTGGTGAATGTGTTTCACAATTTAGACGTCCAACCGGTCGGTTGTAAGAGATGAATTTCAATACCAACTGTTTTCTATTCACGTTGAAAAATAAAGCGTGCTCCTGTCTATCTTAAACAACTTCAAACATATACTCTATTGATAAGAATATAAAGATAAGGTAACAAACTTGTGGCACTACTGCATGCATTCTGGATAATGTTCAACCCAAAAACTTTCTTTCTAAATCTTAATTATCTATTATTCATATTCTTTTTATTCATTTGCCTCAAGCTACGACGCGAGGCATTACTGACTAGATGTGTCCTGAAAAAATCCCCAACTATCAATAAAATAAACTCATAGAAGTATTTTAATAAGTTCAGAAAATTTATTGTTCCATGTTGGTACAGTTCGCAGCATATTCCAAGGCTCCTGCAGGGAATAGAGTCAAACAGATAGTGGAATCGTAGCCATGCTGCGATAATAAAAGAAACTGCCATCCAATCCGACGATCTGATTCAATCAACATGAGCCAATGTGATTGATTTTGGCGTGGTAAATGATTGCAAGAAATGACGGTGTCTTTGTAGGCTTACCATCTGGTTGTGCGACCTCAGTAACGCAAAACAACTTGATTTCCGAACTATAAAAGCGATAAGTAATTAGGTTGAGTATCAGTACACAATATATTCTGAAGTTTGAGGACTTCGTTATCACTTCCAAGGAGAAGGCCAAGAACGAGCTTCGCTTCTTTAACCAACTTCGCTGGACAGGCTTGCAGCATAGCTCTGTACAAACTACTACAATGGAAAACTCAACTTTTGGTAGCATACTGGAAAATAATACAGCCCTGTGCTCGCCATACACTGATCCAAACTGGTCGCGAGCTCTTAAGGGAGGAACATATGTTTTGATAATGTTGGTATCAGTGATAGGGAACTCTTTAGTGATCTACATAATATCAAGTGCACCATCAATGCGTACAACCACCAACTATCTGATAGCTAACTTGGCAGTTGCCGACCTGTTTATTACATGCGTCAGTATGCCTGTCGTCGCTATGGTCAACATTACTGGCTTCAATAACTTTCGCTCTGTCGTTACAGCAGTCATAGTGTGTAAGATCAACCCTCTGGTGCATGGATCGTCTATGGAAAGCGCAATCTTCAGCTTGGTTGCCATTTCCTTTGATCGCCTTTTCGCCATTGCCACACCTTTCAAAAAAGTCATCACCTTCTACCGTCTTAAGGTCATTCTTTTTTGCATCTGGTTTTTTTCATTGCTGACGCTCTCCCCTCTTCTTTACGTTATCAAATTTGTGCAGAGAAATAACTTCTACTATTGCTACGAACGCTGGCCGGAATCATTCGATCAAGAACAAGCAGCAAGAGCCTACACCGTTATCCTTTTTCTCTTGTTCTATGCTATTCCACTGTTAATAATGGCTGTTGTGTATCCTATTATCATCCACAAGCTCTGGGGCCGAGGCAAGGGAATCACGGAGCTTCTTCCAACTTACATGCAACGAAAGCGCAGGACAAATAGGAAAGTACTCAAGATGTTGATGACGGTTGTCATTACCTTTGCACTCTGCTGGCTGACATTCCACGTTCGAATGTTTTTGGGTTTCTTTGGGTCTACCAATAATATACCATGCGCACTACAGCCGCATCTTTATTTCTTGGCCTTTTCAATCGCGCACTCTAATTCTGCCATCACGCCTTTAATTTATTATTTCTTCAATGCTACGTTTAGAAACCAGTTCCAGAAAGTATTTTACAAGTTATTTCCAAGGTTGTCGCAGTTGTGTGGGTTGAAAGGAGCTGCTGATGATGAATCAAACGCAACTCAAAATATCTCACTCGTTCGATTTCGATCAGACGCCATAGCAAGCCGGCAGGATGCTCTTGTAGGCAACGATTTGAGGACTAAACTCGGATCCCATAGGCCGAGAAAAGTGAGGTATTCTTCGCCTTCACAATCATCGCTGCAGGGAAATCAACATTCATTGTAATTGGTTTTTACACCTGTCTTCATATACTATAACATATGAAAATATCACCTTGTTGAGATGCTTATGTTTACTAATATACGTCCATGGGACGCAATCATGAAAAAGCRGCAGTAAAAACCTTTCGTGGTCTTGAGACAAGCCTTGGGCTGACACACGTAATTATAACGTCTTTCTTGCCAATGATTAAACGATCTGACTTAAGCCGAACTGAACAAGATAAAATCAAAGATATTAAGGAATCGTATTGAAGGAAATTGGAAATATTAGAAACGGATTAAGTCAATGAAAAGACCATAGTAGGATAAGATTCCATTTCTCTATTTAAGCGAAAATCAAAAAAACACAGAATTCAAATCATACCACGTGTAGGAAAATCCCTCTACATACGACTCTGCATATTTCTCTATAGCTTACCGACTGAATTAATCGATAGAAGGATTAAAAAAATATAAGAATGGAAAAAAATGTTAAACGAATATGAAATATTCAAACGGGAAATTCGGCGGAAAATGAAAGTGAGCGTCCTACGCCTGTATTTAGTAGGAAGATTTCAAGGCCCGTAAAGATTGTAAGCGATTTTTTTATCTACCGAAGTTGCTCTGAAGATCGGAGTAAATCTTTAAAGTCAAACTCATTATCGGCCGGTCCTAAACGACTCACTAACTGATTGTCAACGATACGATGTGTCGCCGACGGATTATCGACTGACAATGTAGGAGTCTATAGAAACAAATTATCGATATGCTGTTGAGTGTATAAAAAAAATTTAAACATGCGAAAAAATCTTCAAAGCTCCACAAAAGAAAAGAAGAAATTACTTGACGCAACAAAAAAAAAAAAAAAAAAGGTTAAAAAAAATTAGTTAATCAAGACGCAATACTTGACTCAATGACCGCAAACAAACGATTCTCGATATTTCGTGAGTCGTCTTGTGACATATGTTTGATATGAATACAAACACAGCTTTCTAAATAGTGTTCCAAGGGTTTGGAATCCAAGTATTACCGGATATTTTGAAAACAAAGTTAAGTTTTTGATATATATTGGAATTGGAAGGGAGGTGCTAACGGCGGGAGATCTCAAAAAAAAAAAGAGCTTTGCAAATCATGTTTGAAAAACATGATTTAATTGAAATCTTATAAAAATCGATTTAAGGATTAGTGTCCCATGTTAATTATTGAGGTTAGTTTATGTAGAATCATATCAATATTGAAGGTTCTGGGTTAGACATGATTTTATGATCGGAAATATCAAAAAATATTTTAGAAAACATAACTTAATAAGCGGTACAAACGATCTAAAAGCGTTTTAAAAATATGTATATATGCATCTGATTTCGCGAGAGGTTCTTTTTGTTAATTTGCGGGCAAAATACGAAAGATTGGATTAAGATTCTTTTTTTTAGATTTATTAAATTTTCTCCGTTATAAAAAAATTTCGTCGTTTGAGCTTGGTTGAGAAGTATATTAGTTGTTATATATGGTGTAGATAGCTAAATATGTGGTGGTTTTAAATTCGATTCATTTTGAAAAGGTCCGCTAGACCAAAAGAAAGAGACCCGTRTTATTGCGTGGTTAGAGTACTAGGCTTTTTCGATACATCGTACATATTGTACTTATCGTTAGAATCGCGGCTTGTCTGAGAGACACAACATCAGTCCCTAAAACCGGGACAATAAACCGATTGAAAAGATAAAAAGCGAAACACTCGCTGATTTATAATTCAGTTAATATCTTTTCGATAATGTTTTGACGATGTATTATTGTACTTTTTGCATCAGTAGTYTCTTACAAAGCGAGTATAAATAAAGTCGCTCCCAGATCTACYTCGCGCAGTATGAACCTCGTCGTATGAACCTCGTCATGACAATTAAATCATATTCTTATATCAGCTGAATATATTCAGGCCATATCCATTTTATTCAAAATTCAATCTGTGAATTGGCCGTGTTTCTGAACTTTGATCAGCCCAGAAGTTGTTTTATGGTTCAATCTGTGAGTTAGACGGGCCCTGACTTAGATCAGCCCAGAGGTTGTTTCAGGGTTCAATCTGTGAGTTAGCCATGCCCTGACTTAGATCAGCCCAGAGGTTGTTTCAGGGATCAATCTGTGAGTTAGCCATTCCCTGACTTAGATCAGC